TATCATTGTTTTCCATTCAAAACTCCTCTCATAAATCTTTGTAGTTACTGAAATTTATCCTGAAACCCCTCTCTTTGTTCTAATTTTCTTTTATATTCCTGCTTTTGTCATCATCAAGTAGTCTTTTAAAATCCGCTTTTAGGAAGTAAAAATTTTAATTGTGAGAAAAATGGTCTACATTCCGCAATAACTGCTAACATGTACTACATGTCACAACCGTTTTTTTTTTGCGACATTTTTTACTATTGACAAAAAAGATAATGGTATATATATATATTAATGGACATTTGAGTTTAAATTTTATCAGAGTACACAGATATAAGAAACAGCAAGATGACAATAGCGGAGACAATGTCACTAACGAAATGTATTCTCTTCGATGACTACTTTAGATGAACAATTAGATTTCTGGAATCGAATTTACAAGAAATTATGCATTCCTTCGCTGAAAAATAATGAAATAACTGTCAATATGTAAAAAAAAACCACGCTGATCAGAAAAGCTGATGAATAAGAAGGCAAGCGGGTAGAATACTGTTCAGATATATACAATAAAATGTACGACGGCTTCGCAAGCGATTCAGTACACAAGAAGAAGATAATCGAGCATAAATAAAACCGAGAGCAGTAAGACCCGACGAGAAAGAAAAAAAAATCCAGGAATAAACCAGTTGCGCATGATGGATTTTGTTTTATATCACATGTGTTAAAACTTTGCAGCCTGTTCGAAAACACGTCATAGAAAATGTGAAACAATTGAAACAAGAAAACTAACGACGTAGTTATGAAAAATAAATATGATAAACATGATCCCACGAGAGCCACTGAATTACAGGCTACTGACATGGACAGGCACACGAAGAAGTGGTTGGGTTTAACATGTTTTTGAGCGCCAAACCTTTCCCCTAACTTGGAAACAGTAGTGTTATAGCACAACATAAGAATCAGAAAAAACTATAAACATTAGTTTCAAATGGCTTGACTCAATTGATCAGAGAGAAGCACAATGAATCAACAGGGATTTGGTCCGCGTTTAAGGCTAACTGCGACATTGAGATGAAGAACAGTATTAAAAGCTTCAACAATTACGGAAAAGGTAGACATTTCCAATCATGTGTCTACAGTTTATTGTTTATGTGTGGTCTTAATCGATTTATTAGATTTGAAATCGGTTAACTACATTCTGTTGCGTTTATATATTATATGTGTTAGTAGTGCTCTGCATCATTTGAAATCAAATGATTTTCTATCGAAACAAATAAAATACTTTTAATAAGCATTGGTCACAGTTTTTTTGTGAAAGAGAGGCGAAAGATACCAAAGGGACATTCAAACTAATAAGTCAAAAATAAACTGACAACAGCATGGATAAAAAAGAAAAAGACAAGCAGACAAACATTAGTTCATAAAACACATCATAGAAAACTAAAAACTGAGCAACATAAACCCCATCACTTGGGGTGATCTCATCTGCTCTGAAGGGTTAGCAGATCTTGCTCCACATGAAGCACCCATTATGTTGCTCATGTTAGTTCGGTGATAACTATGTAATGTATGCACTCTAATAAGTATTTGTAGTGATTATCTGTTCAACAGTTACCAGATCAAGGAACTTTTTTAAGATCAATTAACGGTCTCCTGTGCAACATCCCTTGTAAAGCTACGGACAACGGGACAATTTATTGCTACAGATGTAAGTTTCTTCAGTAGGGTCTTATGTTATTTGAAACACTGTTTGTTTAATCCCTCTACTTAGTAGCATATCCATACTTGGAACAAAGGTTTTAGATTGCTTTTTAAAAATGAACATTTAACTTAGATGAGTTTCTATAAGTGAAAACAATTAAACGTCGTAGGTTGCATCTTTGGTAACGACGGGTGCCACATGTGGAGCAGGATCTGCTTACCCTTCCGGAGCACCTGAGAACCCCCCTCCCCATCATCTTCAATATTATTCTCAAAACAGAAGAAGTAACATTTTTTAAGTTCAGCTGTGAATATACAATCATTTTTACTGATATTTATACATGTAAAATCAATGAAAGCTATTTTTAAACTTTTTTAAACAAAAAATTGATACTTTACAACACAATATCAATTTATGTATACACGTATTTACAATAAAATATGAAAGCCAATGATAACATTTTAACTTATTTAAACGTTAGAAAAGATTGAACAGAGATCTATAATTTACAAAAATCTAATATCTTGCATGTAGAACTTTACTTTAAAATTTTACCGATAAACAACAACATATTAAACATTGTTAAAAACGGCCATGGTAAAATAAGAGGACAATAACACAAATATCAATTACTTAGAAACATATTTAGTTAACAATTCAAAAAATACTATGACAATGTATAAGGTAGAAATATTGTAAGAACTACTAAAAAACATGTTTGTATAACTGAGTTTTCTTGGTTTTTTTTTCTAAAAAACGTAAATCAAATGTATTTGTGGTAGTTCATTTCGGAAATCATTCCACAGATACTGCAAACAACAGCTCAACTACCGGTAAACATAAATACTTTAAAATGAATAGCGACATACAGGCATCATACAAACTTTATTCAAAGTTAATACAAAATAATATATTTGAAGTATATTCTATTGGAGATTTTTCAGGAAAACGGGAGATAATCAAATGTCGGTCATGCTACAAATCTTAAATATTATACACCAGAGACAATAACTTAAGAATAAAAAGTGAATACTTATCATTGTTTTCCATTCAAAACTCCTCTCATAAATCTTTGTAGTTACTGAAATTTATCCTGAAACCCCTCTCTTTGTTCTAATTTTCTTTTATATTCCTGCTTTTGTCATCATCAAGTAGTCTTTTAACATCCGCTTTTAGGAAGTAAAAATTTTAATTGTGAGAAAAATGGTCTACATTCCGCAATAACTGCTAACATGTACTACATGTCACAACCGATTTATTTTTGCGACATTTTTTTACTATTGACAAAAAAGATAATGATAAATATATATTAATGGACATTTGAGTTTAAATTTTATCAGAGTACACAGATATAAGAAACAGCAAGATGACAATAGCGGAGACAATGTCACTAACGAAATGTATTCTCTTCGATGACTACTTTAGATGAACAATTAGATTTCTGGAATCGAATTTACAAGAAGTTATGCATTCCTTCGTTGAAAAATAATGAAATAACTGTCAATATGTAAAAAAAACCACGCTGATCAGAAAAGCTGATGAATAAGAAGGCAAGCGGCTAGAAAACTGTTCAGATATATACAATAAAATGTACGACGGCTTCGCAAGCGATTCAGTACACAAGAAGAAGATAATCGAGCATAAATAAAACCGAGAGCAGTAAGACCCGACGAGAAAGAAAAAAAAATTCCAGGAATAAACCAGTTGCGCATGATGGATTTTGTTTTATATCACATGTGTTAAAACTTTGCAGCCTGTTCGAAAACACGTCATAGAAAATGTGAAACAATTGAAACAAGAAAACTAACGACGTAGTTATGAAAAATAAATATGATAAACATGATCCCACGAGAGCCACTGAATTACAGGCTACTGACATGGACAGGCACACGAAGAAGTGGTTGGGTTTAACATGTTTTTGAGCGCCATACCTTTCCCCTAACTTGGAAACAGTAGTGTTATAGCACAACATAAGAATCAGAAAAAACTATAAACATTAATTCAAATGGCTTGACTCAATTGATCAGAGAGACGCACAATGAATCAACAGGGATTTGGTCCGCGTTAAAGGCTAACTGCGACATTGAGATGAAGAACAGTATTAAAAGCTTCAACAATTACGGAAAAGGTAGACATTTCCAATCATGTGTCTACAGTTTATTGTTTATGTGTGGTCTAAATCGAGTTATTAGATTTGAAATCGGTTAACTACATTCTGTTGCGTTTATATATTATATGTGTTAGAAGTGCTCTGCATCATTTGAAATCAAATGATTTTCTATCGAAACAAATAAAATACTTTTAATAAGCATTGGTCACAGTTTTTTTGTGAAAGAGAGGCGAAAGATACCAAAGGGACATTCAAACTAATAAGTCAAAAATAAACTGACAACAGCATGGATAAAAAAGAAAAAGACAAACAGACAAACATTAGTACATAAAACACATCATAGAAAACTAAAAACTGAGCAACATAAACCCCAACACTTGGGGTGATCTCATGTGCTCTGAAGGGTTAGCAGATCTTGCTCCACATGAAGCACCCATTATGTTGCTCATGTTAGTTCGGTGATAACTATGTCATGTATGCACTCTAATAAGTATTTGTAGTGATTATCTGTTCAACAGTTACCAGATCAAGGAACTTTTTTAAGATCAATTAACGGTCTCCTGTAACATCCCTTGTAAAGCTACGGACAACGGGACAATTTATTGCTACAGATGTAAGTTTCTTCAGTAGGGTCTTATGTTATTTGAAACACTGTTTGTTTAATCCCTCTACTTAGTAGCATATCCGTACTTGGAACAAAGGTTTAAGAATGCTTTTTAAAAATGAACATTTAACTTAGATGAGTTTCTATAAGTGAAAACAATTAAACGTCGTAGGTTGCATCTTTGGTAACGACGGGTGCCACATGTGGAGCAGGATCTGCTCACCCTTCCGGAGCACCTGAGACCCCCCCTCCCCATCATCTTCAATATTATTCTCAAAACAGAAGAAGTAACATTTTTTAAGTTCAGCTGTGAATATACAATCATTTTTACTGATATTTATACATGTAAAATCAATGAAAACTATTTTTAAACTTTTTTCTTTCTCAAACTACTTAATATTTAAATATTTGATTTTAAATAAGACATTTACACGAATGTGCATATTTTTGTTACCCTTGGTTAACTTATGTAATACAGTACATTGATTACATAAATGGAATACATGATTTTATATTTGAATGACATCCTACGTTACGAAACATTAAACACAAAAAGATTTATAAAGCAATTTTTTAAAACTATATTTAATGTGCACAATAGTACGTTTTAAATCATAATTTTATATTCGCATCACATTTAAGAGATTTTGACAAACCCAACAAACGGTAAGTTTAACTCTACTTCAAATATTTTAATGATAATAATATAATAATTGTTATTTTTATAATTTCATAGTTTAGTTTAGTACAAAAGTCTAATAATCCTATTCTGAACTAATTATTTGTGGTGTATATAACATGACTAGTGCCTTACAAGGAGCAAGATCATTCGCATTTCTTTTCCTTTTTTTCTAGAGAGATGTTAACTTCGACATGACTTAGATTTAATGACGTCATTTAACATTTGATATCAATACTGATTTGCTAGCAATCGATTCAATCAAGTTACCTATATGTTATAAAATTAACAGTATCAATTATTTTCCACAAGAATCGCATTTCATGTATAATAATAGCTCGAGTTCAAAATATTTGAAATCCCAAACTGATTAAAAAATATAAAATGGTTTTCAAACCTAAAACGACAATTGATTCATTATTTTCTTATATTTATTTTATTTTTTCAAAACACATAATGCATAATCATGATAATATACAAAGGTATATCAATTATTCTTTAAGTTAATTTCAACAATTCTTACAATTACTAATTCTTAAGAACAGTTTGAGTTTTCTGCTGCAAACTAATTTGTCTATGTTTTGTTTTATTTCTGTAGTAAAATTTTGAAGAAGAAAAAAAAAATGGGATAGGAAATTAAAAGAAAAAAACCCCAAACATTTGTCAAAAAAAAAAACCAAAAACAAGTTTGCAATTTTTAGGGAAGAAAAGAAGAATTGGTCATCCGTGGTTTGCCTTATATATCACTGCATTTATATGGTAATTTATTCAAGACAGATGGAAAGTAAAGAGCCAGATTTATAGGTGTCATTAGCAAATTTACAAAACAAAAGTCTCATGTATTTGTGTGATTGCTCTCAGTATAAACACAGAAAGTGCCAGCTATTCCATTTTCTCTCAAACTGTTCTTGTTTTTGTTTATAAATAGCTACAGTTTTTTCAGTACAGTACAGATCATTTATTGTTTGTTTGAGTCCCTGAAGTGATAGAACTTTTTTCAAACATCGACTTGAATAAATATAATATTTAATACAAAGCAATATCTTATTTTGTACAATACAGTTTCTAACATCAAAAATACCAAATACAAAAGTCTTAAAATTATAGTTAAGTGTTATGTGTGCTGTAGATGAAGTCCATGTATCAACATTTTCTAACAAATTTGTACTTCTTCACATTCCCACAATAAGTGTATAATGGTTTCTGGTTGTATATTACAAAAAGTACAAAGAGGGCTTTGTACAAGTTTGATTTTTTCCAGGAAATAATTAGTAGTCAAAACTAAGTGGTTAATCCTGTATCGGAACCACTGTGATCTACTATTTGTTGTAACTTTAAATGGAAGTGTATAAATGAGTTTCATTTCATCATTAGTGACACCAAACTTTTCCATAATTTTCTTTTTATTTGTTGGTTGAGTAAGATTTTTTCTCAATATGAAGTACATATCTTTAGAACCTTTTTTATGTTTAAAAAAATCTTGATATTGTTAGGAATGCTTGGGTAACAATTCTTTATTGGAGATGCAGCATTCTTAACAAAGTTTTGGGAATACTGTTTAACACAATTTATTTCGCCATAATATTTCAGAAAGTCTGTACGTATGTGATGCACGTCCTGGAATTTGGTCAGGGAAAAAATTTCTCCAGCTTCATCTATTAAATCATTTACAATGTGTACACCTTTGTCATACCAGTCTTTGTAAAAAAACAACATCATTTTCTATTTTAATTTTCTCATTAAACCATATGTTTTTCTATGTACTTGACACCTGTATTTTATATTAAATCACAATCAATCCCGTAGAAAGCAAAAATTTCCTGTATTTTTTTTTATTATTGATCAACCTTCTAACCCATGTTGATTTCAGTGATTTTATGAAAGGTTTCAAAATAATCATTTTTAGACCCCCTTCAAAATAATCTTTCACTTATGTTTCTCTCTTAACTTTACCAAACAAAACTTAAAAAACAAGTTGTCAAGTTTTTGAATAATTCTGTTTTCCGGATTTGGCAATGATGAAAACAGATGGATAAGCTTTGGTAATGCCAATGTTTTAACTACTGTAATACGCCCAATTGGAGTTAAGTTTCTCTTGCTCCATTGCTTTAAAAGAGATTCAATCTCCAATATTGTTTTATCATAATTTAATCGTATCATCTTTGATAAATCTACATCAAAGTCTATTCCAAGGTACGAAAAATTATGTTTACCCCATGATAAGATTAAGCTAGTACAAAGTTCATTCTGACTGTATTTCATACTGCTAATCCATACAACCTGGGTTTAACTGTAGTTAATTTTTAAACCTGAGATTTGCCAAAAATAATTAAGATCTTTCATGCTTTACATTAGAGATTCTTCAGATCCATCTAAAAAAATAGCAGTATCATCAGCAAATTGAGACAATTTATGTTCAATACTAACAGAATTCAAGCCTCTTTTTTTCTGATTGTTGCGAAGCTTAATAGCTAGTATTTCAGCACACAATATAAACAAATAAGGAGAAAGCGGATCGCCTTGTCTACAACCCCGTTCAATGTTAAAAAAATCTGATAAATTACCCCCTTGGTTTACAGCTGAATTAATATAAGAGTAGAAAATTCTCACCCATTTTCGAATAGATTGTCCAAAATTGAAAAATTTTAATACTTCTTGTAGAAAATCCCATGATAATGAATCGAAAGCTTTTTCGAAGTCGACAAATAGGAGAAGTCATGGTAGGTTTTTTTTCTTCTGCAATTTGCATCAAATCATATAACAATCTTGTGTTTTCTCCTATAAATCGACCTAGAACAAAACCAGTTTGATCAGGATCAATCAAATTTCCCAATTCTTGTTTAAATCGATTAGCAATAACCCCTGATGCAATTTTATAAGAAGTATTTAGGAGAGTGATTGGCCTTCAGTTTTTAAGAAACTGTCGTGGTTTGTCTCCTTTAGGTAGACATTTATTTATACCTTGTCTCTGCGTAACAGAGAGTTTACCTTTTTCAAAACCATGATTTAAGGATCTTACAACAAATGGACCAATTTTTCCCCAGAAAACTTTGAAAAATTCAGCTGTAAAACCTGATGATCGTGGACTTTTATCATTTTTCATTGCTTTTAAAACATTTGATGCCTCATTAAGACAGATTGGACCCTCCAGTTTATCTGACTCCTCACTTGTTAATTTGTGAACATTGCATTTATCAAAAACAGTATCAAAATTCTTATCTTATCTTAAACAATATTTTTTTTTTGAGAACAACTCTAGATAAAAATTCTTAACCTCTTTGAGAATATCTTTTTGATTATTAATCATTTCTCCATCATCTTTTTGTACTTTAGGGATAATTTTATTCGTAAAGTTTTTAGATTCCAAATTACAAAAATATTAACTAGGTTTTTCACCTTCTGAGATCCATATTGCCTTGTATCTTAGTACACTCCTTCTTAATTGTTTCCCTCTAATGTCTTCAAGTTCTTGTTTTTTTTCCTCAAGACTCTGGAAGTCAGTATTGTTGTTAATATTTTCTTCTGCCCTTTTAATCTTTTTTGTAAGGTTTTCTACTTTTCTTTTTTTTGTAGCTATTAAATGCTATAGTTTTACCTCTTATTTCATTTAACAGGGTTTCCAAAATAATTGATTATCGATACTCAACACAAAATCTGAAATCATAATGTTCTGCTTTTCTGAAAGTTGTTTCACAGTATACTGATTTTTTATATCTTAAATTTTTACATTTATTGTGTCTAAATATTCTTGGTCAGATAGCAATGAGTTTCTAAACTTCCAGAGTCCTTTTCAACTTTCGAAACCATTAAATACTAAATGCAAAACTATGATGGAGTGATCTGATCGATAGCTTGATTATATAAATGAATCTTTTAATGAAGGTTATAATACATCAGATATGAGAAAGAAGTCCAGCCTTGACTGTTTCAGTGGTGACTTTTTTCTCCAAGTATAACCTCTTCTATCTGGATATAGATCTCTGTATGGGTCAACCATATTTTGATTATCCATAATTTCTAATAATTTTAACCTGGCTTTTCGATTGTTTACATGTAAGTAATTGTAATAATCTATTTCAGGATTTAGCACAAGATTGAAATCACCACAGATTATGAAGTACTGATTCTCAAAATCTTCAATGATATCTGATATTTTTTCATACAAACCTGGATTGTCCATATTATAACCATAAATAGCATTTAGAGTTATCTTATGACTTTCAATTGTAATGTCTAATGCAAGATAATTTCCATATAAATCTCTTTTTTCTCTATGAACTTGAAACTCAAAATTATTTTTGAAAAAAATTGCTACGCCTCTGGAGTTTGATGAAAATGAGCTAAAATAGCATTTGTATCCCCAGAGGTTTTCAATATCATTGTCTTGTGATGGAGTAAAATGAGTATCTTCTAAACAATATATATTACAATTCTTATCTCGCAAGTAAACATAACTATCTCTTCTTTTACCAATATCGCCTAAACCCTGGCAATTTACTGACAAAATTGTAATACCTTCCATAAATCCTATACATTGTCAAATATGTGATATAGCAAACATAGAGACCAGATATATATTAATATAAAAATTAAGACTAAAGGCTGCTAAGTAAGACAAGATACATAGTATCTTGTGTAACCGGAATTAAAAACAAAAAAATTGTCCAACATGGTCACCACTGTTTTGTTATAAATTCGGTGTTTTGAACCTTTTTTACTAATTATATTCAAAGATTTTAAGACTGTGTAATACGTCTTTGTTTTAAATTGTTACACAGTTTTGCTATGAAATAATTGCCATGACTTTCTTTTTACCATATCTTAAACAGTCTTTCATTTTGGTTACATAAGGGAGATAACCACAATATTGTTATATACACATATTGCATATTTTATGTGAAAATAGTCTATTTTAAATCAATCTAGCGTTTTAGAATAAATATTGGTTTAAAATTAAACACAAAATAATTGTTTAAGTATAGAAATGATATAAATGGAAATAAACAACCAAAAGACCCATATAATAATGATATAACATATTTAAAACAAAAATGTATTATTGAAATGATTATACCAATAGTTTCACTGTTAAAGCTGAAGATATTCAACTTTCACCATTTTGGTTGTTCACATCTTTGGTTCTTTCATATTCAATTCTGTAGCTTATATCATCAAAAATGACAAAGATAATCTGGAGACCATCTTTTGTTTTCCCATATCAGAACCATTGTACTAGTATGCTACATCAATGTCTTAATGGTGTCGTAGTCCCTTCAGTAGATCTCTATTTTTTATGGTAATGTCATACAATTTCACATGGTTCTTCAGTTGTTTCTTTTGTCTCATAATTGCTGTTTTTACCTCACTATTCCCCACTTTAACAATCACTGGTGGTACTCCAGATTTGTACGATCTCAGCCTGTGTATTGTCACTATATCTCTCTCTTTTCCAAGCTTTAAATTGAGGTAATCTTTTACTGTTTTCAAAAAATTCTCTCGTAGATTTTTATAATTTTCTGTCTGAAAGTTTACCATTATGATGTTAAATTTTCGAGAATATTGCTCGTTGTAATTAGCCATTGACAATGCTGCATATGATTTGTTCATAGTATCCTCCATTTCTATTGTTATACTATTTAATCTAATATTTTGTTCCTCTAACTGATTACTTAAAGTACTATTTTGGGATTTCAATAGCTGGATTTCTCATGTTTCTGTGTTTTGTTTTTAAGTTATTTCTGTTACTTTGTCATTGGCTTCTTTTTTAATCTCATTCTTCAGAGTTCCTAAAAGTTTTTTCTACAATATTTGTAACTATCTGTTCAATGTCTGATTGTTTAACAAGATTTTCCAAGGCTTTTTTTAAATCATCTTTCTTTATGTTATCCTTCAAAGCACTTTTTATTTCCCCCAGTTCTTTACTAATATCATTAAAATCTGAGCTAAGGTTCATACTATTGTCACTTTCTTCACTCTTCTCAACATCAGACAATGTTCTTTTAGCTTGTTTTGAGGCCTTCTTGTCAGATTTTTCCTTTCATTCTTTGTGGTCTTTATTCTCTTTATTCTCTTTGTTGGTTAAATCCCTCATTGGGGCTATAAGTGTTTGTACGGTCTTATTTAAGTTTTTACTTAAATTGTCTCTAGGCATATTGACTCTATAAACAGTTTTTACAATCCTTTAATTTCACACAGAAAAACACTAAATTGCAAATATAAATCCAAATGCAGAATTTTTAGGAATAATACAGCTAAATCTTGAAACCTTGTATGTAGAGGATCATAAATATATAATTTTCCAATAGCAACAATGTATAGAATCACTTCAAAAACACCAAAAATAAGGAGCTGTAATTAATGTGTCACACTCTTGGCAGCCATGTTGTTCTTCATTCATTATTAATCATTTAAGAAATTGATACTTTCAGCCATGAGTCAAGGGAAAAGAACTTGTATTGAGGCAGAGGTAATTATCATTGATATCTAAATAAAAAAGAACAAATAGTAAATCAAGAAAAACGAAACAAATGATATAGTGAAAAAAACTAAATCTAAACAACAGGCGATTAAATCGATTATGAAGATACAAATACATGCTTCTACCAAACACTCATGGAATTGAATGTACTTCAAAGGAATAAAGATTTGCGAGTCGTCAGGGAATAAAGAATAAAAAAAAAATCCTTTATAAATGCAAACAAACAGCAATAGAATAATATTTTCCGAAAGAAGATTATGAACCTTTGCATGCTACATAACATAAATCATACATTGACATGATTACGGTACCAACAAAATAATGTTCAGAACAAGAGATCATTACAACCAACAAAACCCAAAAATGACCGTGCACAAAGAACAAAGAAGAAGGTACACCTTATTGTTAACATGGTACTGGCACACATATAGGGTTACATTTAAGCAACAGTAGTTTAACGATGTTTAAATCTCGCAAATCGATTAGGGAGAGACTAATCCCACTAGCTACATGTTTTCACAGTCGTAGATCTTTAAAACCAGAATTATCGTATATAAGAGAGGCGAAAGATACCAGAGGACATTCAACCTCAAGTAAAAAAAAAAAAAAATTGTGTAAGCTACAATTCCTCCGATAGTGTCCTATTCAAAATTGTGACCTTTTGGTTGAATTAAGACTCGTATGGTGGTGATGCCTGCATAGCTGGTGATATCACCCTGTCGACGCGAAGGGTCTGGCTCCTGTCAAGTTGGCGCGATTCATGCATTCATGTTTGTTACCCTGATTTGTGTTTTATATCTTTATATATTTGCATGAACTATTTACATTCATTACGTTTGTCAATAGATTTGTAATTGCAATGTATTAACATTTAAAAAAAAAAAAAAAATAATAAGTCGAAAAACCAACTAACTGTATTTTATAGAGCAGATACAAATAATCTAAGTGTCCAACCTTAACCTACAGTGACCTTCAGGCAAATAAATACAGTTGTCGTTCATTAACTAAGTATTTGATAACTTTACGATTAATTTTATAGATTTTTTTTTCAGCCAATGATAACAAGAAAGGAAACTAGAAGTTATTTCTGTTACTTTGTCATTGGCTTCTTTTTTAATCTCATTCTTCAGAGTTCCTAAAAGTTTTTCTACAATATTTGTAACTATCTGTTCAATGTCTGATTGTTTAACAAGATTTTCCAAGGCTTTTTTTAAATCATCTTTCTTTATGTTATCCTTCAAAGCACTTTTTATTTCCCCCAGTTCTTTACTAATATCATTAAAATCTGAGCTAAGGTTCATACTATTGTCACTTTCTTCACTCTTCTCAACATCAGACAATGTTCTTTTAGCTTGTTTTGAGGCCTTCTCGTCAGATTTTTCCTTTCCTTCTTTGTGGTCTTTATTCTCTTTATTCTCTTTGTTGGTTAAATCCCTCATTGGGGCTATAAGTGTTTGTACGGTCTTATTTAAGTTTTTACTTAAATTGTCTCTAGGCATATTAACTCTATAAACAGTTTTTACAATCCTTTAATTTCCAAAAACACTAAATTGCAAATATAAATCCAAATGCAGAATTTTTAGGAATAATACAGCTAAATCTTGAAACCTTGTATGTAGAGGATCATAAATATATAATTTTCCAATAGCAACAATGTATAGAATCACTTCAAAAACACCAAAAATAAGGAGCTGTAATTAATGTGTCACACTCTTGGCAGCCATGTTGTTCTTCATTCATTATTAATCATTTAAGAAATTGATACTTTCAGCCATGAGTCAAGGGAAAAGAACTTGTATTGAGGCAGAGGTAATTATCATTGATATCTAAATAAAAAAGAACAAATAGTAAATCAAGAAAAACGAAACAAATGATATAGTGAAAAAAACTAAATCTAAACAACAGGCGATTAAATCGATTATGAAGATACAAATACATGCTTCTACCAAACACTCATGGAATTGAATGTACTTCAAAGGAATAAAGATTTGCGAGTCGTCAGGGAATAAAGAATAAAAAAAAAAATCCTTTATAAATGCAAACAAACAGCAATAGAATAATATTTTCCGAAAGAAGATTATGAACCTTTGCATGCTACATAACATAAATCATACATTGACATGATTACGGTACCAACAAAATAATGTTCAGAACAAGAGATCATTACAACCAACAAAACCCGAAAATGACCGTGCACAAAGAACAAAGAAGAAGGTACACCTTATTGTTAACATGGTACTGGCACACATATAGGGTTACATTTAAGCAACAGTAGTTTAACGATGTTTAAATCTCGCAAATCGATTAGGGAGAGACTAATCCCACTAGCTACATGTTTTCACAGTCGTAGATCTTTAAAACCAGAATTATCGTATATAAGAGAGGCGAAAGGGACATTCAACCTCAAGTAAAAAAAATAAAAAAATTGTGTAAGCTACAATTCCTCCGATAGTGTCCTATTCAAAATTGTGACCTTTTGGTTGAATTAAGACTCGTATGGTGGTAATGCTTGCATAGCTGGTGATATCACCCTGTCGACGCGCAGGGTCTGGCTCCTGTCAAGTTGGCGCGATTCATGCATTTATGTTTGTTACCCTGATTTGTGTTTTATATCGAATTATTAAAATGGAACAGGGGTCGATTATTGTGCCTATTTACATGAACTATTTACATTCATTAACATTACGTTTGTCAATAGGTTTGTAACTGCAATGTATTAACATTTAAAAAAAAAAAAAATGAATACTGTAAAAGCAGAAAATTTCGTGGAGGATTTAATTTCGTTTATTTCCTTGAAAGAATATATCCACGAAATTAAAACCCCCACGAAAATTTAACCTACATATAATATCACTTCCATTTACTGGAAACCACGAAATTTAATCCCCATGAAATCTTATAAAGAGACAAAACCACGAAATTTTAACCCCACGAAAATTAATGTTTCTACAGTAAGTCGAAATACCAACTAACTGTATTTTATAGATCAGATACAAATAATCTAAGTGTCCAACCTTAACCTACAGTGACCTTCAGGCAAATAAATACAGTTGTCGTTCATTAACTAAGTATTTGATAACTTTACGATTAATTTTATAGATTTTTTTTTCAGCCAATGATAACAAGAAAGGAAACTAGAATTGACTTTCAAAACCGCTTTTCAGAGAGCAAGAAATATATACAAAATATTGCAGACGTATCGCTTATGATGGCAAACATTTCACAGTTGCGAGCAGTTTTGGGCTTTGGCGAGACAAATACCTTTTACATTCATCTCCTGACACTAATTAGTGTTTCACTAGTGTCACACACATTTTTCGTTTTTGTCAGTGTAATAAGAGGGCATTTTATTAAGAAGCATCACATTGCTTTGGTTCGAGCACAAAAGAACCAAGAGAAGATACCAATATTAACTACTGTAGTAGAGACTACCTCCCCTATTAATGACGAGTCCAATATTACATGTGATCATGATAACAACCAACCTATTAAACAAGGAATTACATGCGCCAATAAGCAAATAAGTGAGCCAGCAACTGAACAAGGAACAAGAAACGTCCCCAAAAGAGTAAGATGTTGCTGTTGCTGTACAAAACAGGACAGACTCGATGAATATGATGACAGTGATAACTGCCAGTGTCCACATTGTCATACCGATCTTTATCTGGGTTATGTCTGTAATATTCTCGTGTTCACAACAATTTGTGCAAACATTGGCATTACTGGGATTGAAATCATTGGAGATTGCAAACCCAACGCATGATAATCAATTCAGAAATGATAAAAACACAAATATTGGAATCACCAGAAGCAAAATTGATATAGGACAGTATGTAATTAGATATACATTCTATATTCTATATATATATATATATATTATAAAAAGTATTTGCATTTGATTGACCATTATTCATGTTATTCTAACCTAGAAATACAAATGTATATAAAACATTTACTTATAGTATAATCGTTATCTAGTGTTTTGATTTAATTCGACTTTCATTATCTAAGCAATCGCTTTATAAAAATCATATCAAAGAGCACGTGCATATTTCAACGAAAGCAAAAATGTTTTCAACAGAAAACTTGCAACTGAAGATAAAATAAGTGTTATACATTTAAAACATAGATCACGATTGATTTAAACAAATGTGTTTTAAAATTCAATAATAAAATCTGTTCCATACCATGGCCAGTGAACAGAACATGTTGCACCCGAATGCATTTAAAGTTTGTAGTATGATGTTTTACATTCAAATTTCTTTTGTACTTAAGGTGTTCTACTGGTCAATGTTAAATTATAGTTCTAATATGCATCAAACTATTTTCCTCGTTCATATTATAAATGTGCACGTGTTACATCTGTGATGGTTTAAAATGATCAAATTAACTTTTAATTTAAGTAATTTACAAAGCAGAAGAAACATCCGAAGCCAAAGCTGACCTTATTTTGATTTGTGGATGCCACAAATGAAGCAGGATCTGCTTACCATTCCGGAGCACCTAAATCACCTCAAGTTTTTGGTGTGGTACGTGTTGCTCAGTCTTTATTTTTTTTAATGTTGTGTTTAGAGTACTATTGTTTGTCTTTTTCTTTTTCATCCATGGCGTTCTCAGTTTCTTTTCGATCTACGAGTTTGAATGTCCCTCTGGTATCTTTCGCCCCTCTTTTCGTTCAAGGTTAGCTTAAGTCGTCATATAGCTGCTCTCGTATGTTTGTATTTATACATTTCTTTTTCAAAATAAAGCATTCCTGATGAAGGCAGATTCAAAAATCTTTAATGACTGATCAATCATCAGTTCCTGATAATGGTTCACTGCCGAAGGTTTTATCAGCCCAATTGATTTTAATATATATTAACAAATTATGCTTGTATATCATCCGCTCTAAAATCTCACATTGCTAAACAAATAATAATAATAATAATAATAATAATAATAATAATAATAATAATAATAATAATAATAATAATTATTATGATAATTATAATAATAATAATAATTATGATAATTATAATAATAATAATAATAATAATAATAATAATAATAATAATAATTATAATAGTAATGATAATGATAATAATAATGATGATAATAATGATAATAATAATAATAATAATAATAATAATAATAATAATAATAATAATAATGATGATTTTGATGATGATGATGATGATGATAATAATAATAATAATAATAATAATAATAATAATAATAATAATAATAATAATAATAATAATATTAATACACCTCACTGATTAGAAATGTTTCAATATATCTGGAAAATATATAAGGTGCCCAAATTAAGCTTATCAGAGCATTCTGAAAGAGAGGCGAATGTTACAAGAGGTACATTCAAATTCATAAGTCGAAAATAATCTGACAATGCCATTGCTAAAAAAGGACAAGAAAAAAAAACAATGGACAAACAAAAGTTCACAAAACATAACATTGAAAACTAACGACTGCACAACACGAACCCCATAACGGTCAACCAACTCTTGATGGCGTCCGGAAAACTAACGAAGGGATGATTCGCAACTAGTGGCACACTTGTTGTTCATTGCAGGTAAAATGTTCGGTAATGAGAAAACCGCTAAAGGTGAAAAAAAAAGGAAAATCGCAAAAATACTGAACTCCGAGGAAAATTCAAAACGGAAAGTCCCTAATCAAATGCAAAATCAAAAGCTTAAACACATCAAACGAATGGAAAACAACTGTCATATTCCTGACTTGGTACAGGCATTTTCTTATGTAGAAAATGGTAAAAAGGACTAGACTTTCATTTGGTGGTTTACTATAAAAAAAAAGGATTTCCTTTCCAAATCAATACACTCATATTCATGTTTAATTTAGATAAATATTTTTCTTAACATATAATACTATCTTTTGATCATTTTGATTTTTTCCCATGTTAAAGCTTTGTTTGGAGTACGGCTTTCAATTTACGTTTTCGTATGAAATCATCTTTTTGAAGATATTTCATATTTTAAAAGGTTTATATATATATATATATAATCTGTTCATTAATGTTTCATTTCTTTACCCTTTCCTAATCGATAAAATAAATACCGAGGCGAGAGTACACAATGATCAATGTTTTAACATTTCACAAAATACATGTAATGATGATAATAGAACACTATTGATATACGAATGTGTCATGCATTTAAATGGGCTGAATATTTACATACATCAGATTATAAATATAATTAATGTTTTACGATGTTTATGGTGAATGGGAGATAATTTGATTTGAACTATGCCTAATTATCCATTTGAAACTGTAAAAAACGTACACTACACACCGATGTTGATTTTCATATTGTCAAATACTTCTTTTTTTATTTTAAATGTTTTTTTTCAAAAGGAGTTTTGGAAAATTGATATTTTTCGGGTATACTAAAAATTGGGAAACAAAGATTTTCTTCTTCTAATATCAACAGTATTTTTTTTTTTTGTATTTGCATTTTTTCAAATCAATTTTTGAGTGTTTCATTTGCTATTTAAAAGAGGTTGAACTTTTTAAAAATATTGTGGTGTGGTGTTTTTTTTTTTTTTACATCCGGTTAATTAACCAATTAAATTGCAAGATCTTGTTTAATTAGAAATACACATTTTGAGGATAATAGTACTGAATGATTTTTTAATTTTGTTATTCTGAAAGTGTATTTTCCTATCTCTCAACTTATTTGTATTTATGTTTATTGGAAAATCGACAAATGATGAAGACGCACTTTCAATCAGTTTAATTGAGGTCTAGAACTGGCGTGTCAGTAACTGCTCGTAGTCCTCTGTTAATTTATGCATGTTATGTATCATTGCCATTTTGCTTAGATTCTTTTGTTACTTATTTTGACGTCGGGCTCGGACTTCTTTTAAACTGAGTATTGCTGTGCGTACTGCTGTGTGTTTCTTTATTCTACATTGGCTACAGGTATAGGGGAGGGTTGAGATGACACAAGCATGTTTAACCCCTCCGCATTTGCGCCTGTACAAAGTCATGAGTCTCTTGCCTTTGCTAATCTAGTATGTTTTTTAATTTAAGTTAATTTACGTTTAAGAGGTAAGTATGGCGTCCATTTTCACTTAACTAGTACACATTTTTATTTAGGGGCCAGCTGAGGGTGCGGGATTTTTTCGCTTTGTCGATGACTCATTGGTGGCATTCGGCTGTTATCTGCTCTTTGGTCGGGTAGTTGTCTTTTTGACATATTCCCAATTCCCATTCTCAATTTTAATTCAAAATTCAAACTGATCTCCTTAATACTAGTACATGTATCATACTGTTAGCTACAATTTATGCAGCATATAACAAATTATCAATTGAAAGGTAATGATATTCTTTTCACCTTTAAATAACTAGTTTTTAAATGATTCATTCAGGAGGCTAAATTGAAATTGGAGTCAAATGATGAATTCTAATCAACTTATTTACACTTTATTCTGGTAGAGTAGTGGTCGATTTGACCAGAATTTATACAAAGCCGGATATTAGTGTCGTTAAGTATGAACACATAAACAAACGTTGCATAGCTACAATTTTGTCGGCAAGCCTCTTTCAAATAGCTGTATACTACTGTTGCCTTTATTTATCAAACTATTTCTTTTCTTTTCTATTTTTTTTATCGTATAGGTTGCACTTTGTAAATACAGCTGTTTCTCAAACCACGCCTCTTTTGGGGAGATATTTAATATTCATAGGTATGTTAATTTGTTAACGTACTGGTTCCCATTGATGATCTCTGTGTTTCATCTCATAGAGACATCACTTGGGAATGTAACCAGTATAGATAAACATGGTAGCGGCTAAATTTTAATTCTTAGGAGGTCCAAAAATGGAGGTAAGGGTAGTATAGAATTTTAGTATAAGTTTAAACTCTTAGAAGTTCAGGGCATATAAATGTTGAAAATATGCCGCACAGCCCTATATTTTGACCTTTGAATAAAATAGTAGTGCATATAAACTTTCCGTTCTGGGATATTATTTTTCACGAAACTTCATAGTAAAAGTGTCACAGTTTTAGCCGCAAAGGGAGTTCCTATGGGAAATTGCATTGTCTGTATTTACAGAATTGCAACCTATATAGGGTTAAAAAATAGAACATACAGAATTTCACAAAATCTGGTTTATCTCAGAGATTTTAAAGAATTTAACTCAAATATGAAGTTTTATAAATATTTCATGAAGATTGAGAAAATCCTGGGCCTTAACTATGATGACTCAGCATAAATTCACAGTTTACAGTATGCATGGTTTACTTAAAGCCCTGAATTCAAAATAAATTCATAATATATGCCTATTTGTAATTTAAATTGTTTAGAAGTGCTTATATTTACTCTTCGCAGTAATTGCAACTCATTGATCCTTCCTAAATATTTCTGGTGGGGTGTTTTTGTCCTGTCGATAACCCAAAAGTAAGCCGTAACGCCTAAATGTGCTTTTTTGTGACTGCGGCATAAAAAAGTACAAGCTAGAATTACAAAAAGACCTCATTAAAACTTACAATAGTGTGTTCTATCCTAAATATGTAGTAAATATTTCA